TGGCACAACATCGCAAAACACCGCCCCCCTCCCCCTTCTTCGTGCCACAGTCGCCACACCGGCCCGAGCCGGCGGCGGCGGCGGCCCCGCCCTGTCCCTGGGCCTCTAGCGACCGGCTGCGCACCAGTTTCAGTTTTAATACTGTTTATATGGTATTCAAATTCGGTTGATGCATTATGGAGGGTATGGGGGGCGCAGTTGATGGGCCGTGTGCTTTTCCAACGGTTCACTATATAACGGGGGTGAACGTGAGAATTGAGGCGTGAAGAAGATTAGGGATTTTTGGCTATAGGTACGGCGGTGGATGGCCTGCGCGCCTCCGAGCGCCTGTCAGACCTCGAATAGGCAACCCTCTCCAGAGAGCGCACGGGCGTGCGGCGGGCGTGCCTATCGCCCGGGCGGCTCCCTCTGACTCGTAGCGCGCCTGCCAGACGACCGGTAGGCAGCCCTCTCCGGAGAATGCGGGCGTGTGTGGCGGGCGTGCCTACCTCACAGGCCGCCTCCACTGACCCGGAGCGCCTGCGAAATGCCGGGTGGGCAATCCTTCCCAGAAAGCGCTCTCGTGTGTGGCGGGCGTGCCTACCCCACAGGCGGCCTCCACTGAACCGGAGCGCCTGCGAAATGCCGGGTAGGCAACCCTCTCCGGAGAGCGCGCGCGTGTGTGGCGGGCGTGCCTACCGCTCGGGCGGCTCCTCCAGACTCTCCCCTCTCTATCTCCATTGTCTCCCCCGGAAGCTGGCGGGGGAATAAGTTGTCCGGCGCAGCGCCTGCAGCAGCCCCTCGCCTGCTAAATCATTTCTCCCGCCAAGAAGGCCGGCGGCGCGGTGGCTGGGAAGTTCTTTATTGTTCCTGGTCGGGCTTGGGCTTGATGGCTCCTCGGCGAGACTGACAACATGAGAGGTCGCACGGAGGCGGAGGGGGGGGGGTGCACTCATGAGGGAAGGGGGAAACGCATTCATCCTCTCTGAAACATATCTTGTTTATTTAGTTCTTGCGGTGCAATTCTTTTCCGAGACTAAGAAACTCGCAGTTGGCCGGGAGAGCTAAAGTTGATCACTTCGGACCCTGGCAACCTTCCTGGCTGGCCTGCCTAAAATTTTAGTCACCTTTCTTCTTTCCCTCTTTCCTGGAGACTGCGCTTTCTGTTGAGCTCGGCGAGTAGTGACTCGGGAAGCGGTTAGGTAGGTTGATTCGTGATTTGTCCTTGGATTCACTCAAAACTAGCGCTCTGCCTTACCGCACCCTCCCCTTTCAGCGTTACGGAACTGGCGGGGTGTGGCTTTTGTGGGACGGAACCACACACTCCCGGCACCGTCTGTGTCTGACTCCCCGCGCGATCAAACTGCTGGAGGGCAGAAAGCGCAGTTGATAATTAGTTCCCCGCCGGAGTCGACAGGG